GTTAATAAATACGTTAATTTCGATTCGAGAATTTCTAGAAAGGTTTTTTTCCATAGAAAAAGCATTAACTTTTTAACGTCATGTGCTGGAGATTGCGTGCACAACCAAAGGATCATACTTAAAGTAAGTGTACAGTACACTTGAGCGGACAGACAGAACGAAAGGAGACGACAAAAAAATGCTTGCAATATAAAGTTATGGATTTATCAACCGTTTAGAAGGCTGTCCATAAATGACGTCCACAGGGAGGGAGGGAGGGAGTTTTAATAAATCGAACAAGGGCGAGGGAAAGAGTTGAATTTCCGATTCATTTCGTTAATTTTTTTACAGTATTTGTTATTCATAAAGTGATAAATATTTTAAGGGAGACTGAGTTTTGTTGAACGTCTGAAGAGAAGAAGGGGTTATGGAAATTTGGAAAAACTGGGACAAGAGGGGAGGGAATAAAAATTTCAAGAAAAATGCAGACGTAGGCTAATTTATAAACAGCCCCTTACGAATAATTTTTTACTTCCGTACATTCCTTCCGTTTAAGACCGATCTTATTAAGAAACACGTACGCATTCATCAATATTAACAAAATTAATTGTTTTAGTTCACCATAATGCATCCCATCTAAGAGAAAAAAAAGGACATTAAGAATAGTACGAATGATGTCATTAACGCGAACACACAAAGTTACGACGACCGTGTAGGGACAATTGGATTTTCCACCTGACTGATACCACACAATTGGAAAACATGTCGAGAAAAATGTCAAAAATGTTTTTAAAAAGGCTTATAAAGACATTTTAGAAATATTTTATTAACGTAACATATAAAACTAAATGAAATCTCTTGTTGGCTGACTAGAATCACAGTTTGAGTGAGTAGCACTTTGTTAGAGCCCACAGATGCGAAGTTCAATCGATCGAAGATTCAGATTTGTCGACCTCTAGTAGAAAATCCTGAATCTGATCTGACAAATGGGAACAGATACAGCCCTTCAGGAATGATGACTGCAGTAGTTCCACATAAACCATATCTTCAGTTCTTTTAAAAACTTCTGGATGCTTTGGTTTAAGAGGAGAGGGTGTATGCCGAACGCTACGATTCCTCTCACCTTGGTATTGGCGTATGTCTCTCTTACTCGTTAATTGGACCCGGCTGCAGCGGTCGGATAAAAGAACTCCAGAGACCATGCAGCATAGCTCACCAAGCCCCCATCACGACAAGGTAGAGACCCGAAGGGGGGAATGACCCTATGCCTTGTTATCATCTCTACATCCACCATCATCACCACCTATGACTGATTCCGATTGATCGATTGGTTCTCAGCGGTCTTCGATTTCCATCGATAGAGCACCACGGGGAGGTAAGGCTCGGAGGATTTATATTCCGTTCCCTTTTGTCCAAAGAGACAGCTTGCCGTTAGTATCATCATCCACATATACGAATTCGCATCTCTTTGTCGATCAATGCACCATGAAATCAAAATAAACGTTATAAAAATTCAGCAACTTTTTCGGCGAGTACTAACAAGTAAGACACCAGAACAAAATTGAAATTGTCTGTGACGCCATCTGTCGTGGAATTTTTTAAAAAGTAACTTTTATATTATTAATTATTATAAAATGGCAAAATGCTTAATTTTGAGAGCAGAGATCGAGTTTTATAAAATAAAATTGTAAATACTAATAACGAGTAAAATCTTCATTAATTTAAGTTCGATTCCATTCGAGATATGACACGTGACCCTTTCTTTCCCCACTTCATCGACCTATAACGATCAAAATTTAATAGCACTAGCTTTTAAACACAAGCTTTACATGCCAAATTTCGCTTCTTAATCATTACCTCATCCTGAGACATTAAACACAAACACACATCCACGGAATTTCTTCTCGTGTTTTTTTCAACCAACAAAATCTTATAACAGATGGCTCCATAGACAATTTTAATTTTGTGTTAATGTCTTACGTTAGTGTATTTTGCTAGGAAAGTCACGCAACTCGTTGCTGGATTTTTTAAATACTTTTTGTTTTACTTGATTAATGTATTGAAATAAATAAAACAAATTAAGTAATATTGTAAATATTAAATAAATAATTAACGAAATAAGGTTCTGGGTTTGGAATATTCAANAGTAATTACACTGATTGGACTCGTATTTATAAATATGATGACCTACCACCGTCTTGTTGTTATGGTATAGGTAGAAGAAACTGTCAACTAACAGACGATGTAAATTGATTTTTGTAAATATTAAATAAATAATTAACGAAATAAGGTTCTGGGTTTGGAATATTCAAGATCTGGTTAAAATTCGAATTGGAGAAAAGTGTTATTCGCCCAATTCTAATTTTAATTTATGCTCCTGTGAATGCATTTCATATTACTTCAAACTTCGTATAATATTTTTAGTCTCCCCACAAATGGAATAAAATAAAGAACAAATTTATTGATGTTTTCAAAATATTTCTAGTTTAATTAAAAAGTTGAAATGCTTGTTGCCTGTAAAATAGTTTCAAAAATATGTGGTAAAACTTCGGGAATGAATTCCTTATATATATCAGCATCCTGCCGAAAATATTTTGTTTCGAAATTAAAAAACAATCCAGTAAGATATTAATGTATCCTAATGCGATCATTTGCTGCAATTAAGTACGAGACTCTTGCAAACATATGTGAGGTTTGCCGACTGAATGACAGGTTCTCCATCATTTAACCCCGTTTACTATATAACAAAAAGTTTCTTACAACGTTTCCGCAAATTTTCGGCGAAGCACCACTCAGGGAACAAGTCAAAAGTTCACGCAACAGTTCGATGTTCAGAATGCAGTATGAAGTTCCTCCTTCGATCCCTCGATGACGGACGTTGCGATCGACTGCTCCGGGGAGTGCGGCACAGCTTCGGGAGAAAGTCTCTGGAGAAAAGGTGAACCTCGGAGAGTAGGATGAGACATGAGGGCGAAAGTTATTCCCAGGTTGACGGAAAACCTTCCGATGGTCTCTCCGTAAAGCACCACTCTTCAGGATCAAAGAACTACGAACCAAGGAACAGAGAACCGAGAGAGTCACGTCCTTTTTTCGCGCGATTTTTATAAGTTCTTTGGGTCCCAGACCGAACATTCCGATAGGTCGATGTCGACTTAAACGAAACATTTCCGGATCCATGATACCAGGGCGAATTCTCTGGGCTTGCTTAACATGCGCCGCATGCTTAAGAGACTATTAACTGTCAATATACTTTTTATACGACGACAAATATGGCAATAATAATTTATTCTAACGTGTAAACTCTTTTATCAGTTGTGTTAGCATTTACATTGGCAACTATCGGCTAGCCGTTTTAAGTCAGTGCGATGCTTGCGGGAACTCGATCGCTTGCTCGTATGGAGGTTTGCCACGGCAAACAAGTGCGCGCGCATGACGTCATTCGAAGCATTTAACACGGCCAGGTTGTATCGAAAGCTTGCGGTACCCAATCAACATACATGTATTGTGTACAAGGACGGATCTACATAGGGACTAATAGAGCTTAAGCCCTGATCCCCAGTGTCAAGGACCAACCAAGCACAACACGCCATTATAATTAGTGGTGTTTTGCTAAAAATAGAAGTACCGGAACGCTCGCAGTAACGAACAAAAGAAAAATAATAATAACATAAAATACGCAAGAAATCGGAACTTTTGGTCACTGTAATTAAAAAACACCTTTATTACATCTTCAATTTTCACTGTAGGACATTTTGAATATATAACCAAAATAATTCAAATCAGTTCTTTATTTAGAAAAAATTTGGTATTTTGTTTCTTATGATAAAATCGTTACAAAAAAAAAGAGAAGTGCCGCAACGTTACTCTGGCCCAACACAACCCTGATTATGACCTCACGTCAACATCCTTTTATCGATACAGCACGTTACTGGCATTCTGATTGGGACGCAAGAGGCGCTTTGACAAAAGATTCAAAAGATTCATAAACCTATACAATTTTGTAATCATTCTGTAAACAGATTGTTGAGAAACAGCTCGATAATAGGAAATTTACGGACATATAAAATTTTGAGAAATTCGAGTATTAAACTTGTTAACTTTAAGTCGGGATTTTTTTTAAACACTGCACTTTTCCCCAGGTTGAAATATCTATAAGATGACCAATAAAAGCATTTTTTAAATAACATTTAAAAATATATTAAAATTATTAATTGTACTCGTTGTCGGTTCGACCAAACCCACAATGGGGTGGCCGTTGAGAGACGGTTCGATGAAGATCACATAGAAAATATTTCTGGGATTTTTCGACCGCCCGGATTCGGTCCCGAATGTCTCAGAGCAGTAGACAAACGTCTTAACTGCCTCGACCATCTGGTGTAAAGCTAATGTATTTTAGCGTGTTCACGGAGGAACGAACTAAGCAGCATATGCAAGGCAGAGGGGCACTTGATGACAAGAGTGCCAATGACAGGGCATCTCGGACACAAAATAAGAATTTACTTTTCACTAAGCTGTCTTTTTATTTATGTTTTGCTTATTTAAATCATGCCTATTTTTAATTACAGTTAAAAATAATTAATTAATGCTAAACATTTTAATAATGACAATTCTAGGGCGTCATATACAGTAAATTCTTGAATTAGAGCGCCAAGAATCCTAGCACCAGCTCTAACCGTGGCCATTTGACAAATGCTTTCTTATGATATAAAAACAGCGCACGTTACTAAATAAATTTGTGCATTAAAATCCGATAATTTTTTTATTATAAGAAGAGTGCATCGCGGTAAATAATCTCAATGAAGGAAAAAAGTCATTTTATCTTATATAATATTGCTGTTTCCAGTACTTTTATTAAAATAATTTTTAACGAATATTTTTTTAAAATATAGGCATTTCTATATGTATTCAAAATTTTACTATTTTTATAAAATTTAAACTCTCAAAAAATAAATAAAAATTAATAACAAAACAAAAAAATATTGAAAAAATATAATCACCATTAACAACCACCAGAGTGCACTCTTAAATTTGATCAGACACGAGATGGCATCGACAGCTGTCATAAATGGAAAGATTATGGAAAAAACATCAACAAACAAAAGTATGTCTTTCGAATATCTTGATCTTTAAGAAACTGTTTGTTCTTTTTGACTCGTCGCTTAAATGACAGATTTGTATGGCATTAAACTAAATATTTGTATTTTACAATGTAAACATTTTTATAATTCTAATCTTATCTTAATCAATAAAATCTATTTGGACTTAGAAATAAGTTGCATATCTTCAAGTTATTACTTGTAACTTATTAAATTATTTAATACTTTGAAATAATATCTACGAAGAACTTTACATGTGTTGACTGACACTGATTATGATACTTCATAGCTTCTTTTAATGATAAAAGTTATCTTTATCATGTTACAATAAAAAAAAAAATCCTCTCATTTTTGGAACCTCAGAAAGAAAAGGAAGATTCTACTGAAGTGGGAATATTTTATAATTCTTTTTTATGTTAGATTTAATAGTTGTCATTTTGATAGGTTACCTGTCTATATTCAATGTCTATAGATTTTTATATTCATGCTACTGACAGTTTTACATTCCAGTTAGATTTATTCATTCTTACTGTTTTCCATCAATTCTCTCTATAGAAAATTAATAGACTGTCTAAGTATTGTTATTCTGCCTGAAAAAATTTTGGTTGAAGTTGCACTATTAGTCTATAATGTATTTACTTAGTAACAAATAGAATCAGAATGCATAGTTTATTCTTGATTGTCAATATGAGTTAAATAGAGTGTAACAATGATGAATTGCATTTTGCACACTTGTTAGTAATTTATGATGATAATTAGATGATATTAGACATATTTATTAATAACTAAAAATTTTTTGAATGGTAAATAGATATCTCCAGCGATTCGAGGTACAGTACTTGAGTTGTGCCTTATCCGATACTTTGTGTAGCAATAGAATGGTAAATAGATATTTAAAGTAGATGGTTAGCATAATAAATAATAACTATTTCTATTACTATAATAATTTTTTAATATATGGATTCATTATATAGTTTAATTTAGTTTAAATAATGTGATCTAATATGTATATAAATATTTTTATTAAATTTTTTACAGTTAATACAGGATCATAGGATTAGAGGTATAGTAAATGTCATTAAATTCTTAATGTTTGTTTCAACTGTTTTTTATTTTTTAAATATATTAATTATTGTTTTCTGTAATAAAAATTTTATACTTGTGTTTAAAAATGTACTTCAAAGATTTCATTGATACAAATGATATATTATTATACAATATGAAAATATGATTTTCATATTTTCATATTGTATAATAATATACCAAATTTTCTAATTAATATTCTCTGACTGTTACTGTTCTTATTTATTTTTATGGACTCATTTTATTTATTTAAATTCATATTATAAACACAAAAATTTTATTGCCTCACAAAATAGTTTTTTTTTTTATAAAATCAAAAATTTTAAAGTTATATGAACAAAACCTTTAAACAATCCAGCAAATCGTTTTTAATATCTTAAAAATGCTTTTGAATGCTTTAAGCGATTATCTTCAGTTATCATTTTGAATCAAATGAAGAATTCAAAATTACATAAAATTGCTGGATTGTTTAAAGGTTTTGTTTTTACTTATACTTATAGTGTGGTTCCAGTAAGAAAGTATTTATTTGTTATATGAACATTTTTGGAATAGTTTAGGTTTCATATTAATATTATAGTAAATAGTTTACTTTTATAAACATTTTAGCATTTACTCTTTGAAACCAAATGAATATTATTCATAATTTTAAGTGTTTTTGAATCTTGCAGTCCATCATCATTAGTGTATATTCTGCTGAAAGAATGTAGTGTTATCTGAGTCGAAAGACCTAAAAGTACTGGGGTTGTAAAAGATATTTATTTGGCTCTAAGCAGAAAATTGTAAATGTTAAGGAAATCGAAGAAATAAACTTTTTAATATTGTCTGAAAATAGAATTTATAATATTCCAAAAATATTTGTATTTTATTAAGATCCTGACTTTTCTTCAAAGCTGAATCTTAGCAATTTAAATGTAAGTTAATGTTCAAATACTAGACAGCATGAGTTAACAGTTTCAGCAAAAAATATAACAAAATAATATAATTATTTACTGTTTAACATGATTGGAATTAGATTCTTTTAAAACATAATGCCAATTAAAAAATAATAGTAACATTTTAGAATAATACAAAGATAATTTACCATAATGCAGATTTATATAACCCATATAATTTCTCAAAAAAGATGAATATTACTTATGTTTGCACAAAGAATTGAGAAAATTATATTTATTATTCTCAGGATATTGCAAGTAAATTATCTTTATTTTAAGATTTTTGAAAGATATGCTCAAAGTAGAAATAAATAATAAAAATTTAATTACTTTAAGAAGATTTTATTGAGTTTATGATAAAATACTGTAAATTTAAATTTTACATAAAATAGAGAATGAAATATTTTATCACTCAAATAATAGAACCACCAGAGTGCACTCTTAAATTTGATCAGACACGAGATGGCATCGACAGCTGTCATAAATGGAAAGATTATGGAAAAAACATCAACAAACAAAAGTATGTCTTTCGAATATCTTGATCTTTAAGAAACTGTTTGTTCTTTTTGACTCGTCGCTTAAATGACAGATTTGTATGGCATTAAACTAAATATTTGTATTTTACAATGTAAACATTTTTATAATTCTAATCTTATCTTAATCAATAAAATCTATTTGGACTTAGAAATAAGTTGCATATCTTCAAGTTATTACTTGTAACTTATTAAATTATTTAATACTTTGAAATAATATCTACGAAGAACTTTACATGTGTTGACTGACACTGATTATGATACTTCATAGCTTCTTTTAATGATAAAAGTTATCTTTATCATGTTACAATAAAAAAAAANCAATAGATGCAATTTTAGAATTTACTGTTTATCTTAATAACTTATTTTGAGTTTTATATGAACGTACATAACCTAAACACTTTTACAATAAATAAAATATGAATATAAGCATTGACTGTACATAAAATTATGAATATGAATTTGAAACAACTAATATCAGTTATTAATCTGTAATTTTCATGTATAATAGTTATTATTATTTTCATTCCTTTTACCCTGCAGGCAATAAGAGGACTTATTAATAAGCCTGTTATAAATTCATCTAGGTACACTTTGCCCAACCATCCATGGAAAATTTATAAGAATCTGTATTTGAACTGAGAGTCCTGTAAAGAGTAGATATTCACTTTAACCGCTTCAACCATCTTGCCAATGTCAGTAATTCTTCAGAACTATTAAACAATGTTGATAACAATTTAAAGTACCAAGTAATTGTAATTAAAGTACCCCTATTCAACAGTATTTAGCAGTCCAAATGCAACTAAATTTAGTATGGTGACATTTTAGAACAAGCAGAAGACACTGTAAAAAGTATCAAAATTGTCAGAAGAAGAATATTAAATTTTAAATTTAATGTTCTGTTCTTTTTCATTTCATTTGATCCTGATAAAGGTTAAATCAACTTAACCAAAAGTACTTGAGTGAAAGTTAGATTTAAAGTTATTGAAATTTTACAGTAGTAAAACACCTTGTACAATCAAAAAGAAAAAACTTCAGTAAACAATCACATAAAGAAGGACTAATGTTTTTGATCCTTTTCACGAATCTTCTTAGGTCAAAGGTTGTTACTTGTATTATATGAATTTTGTGTACAAACATAAAATGCATTTATATACAAAAATTATTTTAACTGTATTTATAAAATTTATTTATTTTAATAGAATCATCTCTTCAAACTTTCTTTAAACCAATTACAATAGTACTTAGTGATGCAGGTCTTTATTCATACTGTGCCCTCTGTGCAATATCTCTCCATAATTTATTTTCGGATGAATGGGACAGGTTTGAAAAATTTAAAGTATTTCATATTGAAGATGCACCTTTACATATATTCGGATATTAAAATGATTAAATTATTGTTTATTTCCTAGAACGTTTCGAGAAAGATGTCTAAGACAACTAATTCGCCGATTAAATTTACCTTCCCAGGTTAGTTATTTTTGTATCTCAAAAATGATAATTTAAATCATTATAAGATATTGTAAATTGTTATGGTACTTAAGCTCCTAACTGAAAACCTAAAGATTTTTCATAAATTTCTTAATTTTTTAATCTCAAAAAATTTTATTATAGACTGTATTGAGCTTTTTGTTATAGAAGAGAAAAATATATTCTTTTATATCTTTATTAGCATAAAAAGAAGATATTAAAATGTTTGGAAATTTTTTTTTTGTTCAATGATAAATTTTCTTTTCTTTATTGTATATTTGATTAATAACTAGCTAAAATTATAAAATTTGAAACAAGGTTTATTTTATTATAAGGCCTTACAAATTTTTTTTAATAATAAGAATTACTATTCAGTTCAACAAAAGAAAAAACAAAAAATTCTAAAATATATAACATTGTACAGAAATTAATTTTTTTTTTTTTTGTATAAAAATACATAGACCAGTATATAATTTTCAACTTTCAGGCATTCAACTTTTAAACAACTCCTTTATACATAATACTTTGATACCCCTAGAGCACTTTTATATACCAAATTTGGATTTTTGTACATTTTCAGTTAACAAACAAACAATATTAATCTTTTCACTGGTTTTGGTTTCATACCAAAATCATTTGTGAAAATTAGGAATGAATTATGTCTGAAAATTTGGGATTGTCTTTATTTGAATTTGAAAAACCATCTGATTTACAGTGATATAGTATTGAATACTTGTCATCATTCAACCCCAAGTTATATTCTATATAATAAATAAATAAGTACGACATTAATTAATTTTATAGAAGTTATTATTTTTGGAATTAAATTATATATCTTTGGAACTAAAACAGTTCCAAACATGTTCTCTTCATCCTCAGTGGATTATACAGAAATATCTTTGTTTCATTGTACTTTCACTATAAAACATATCCAAACCCTTACACAAATATTTTTAATGTTTATGAATAAGTTTTTTGAAATTCTAACTTAAGAAAATTATAGTTATAGTAAAAAAAACTTAATATTTATACGGTTGGATGATTAATAATAATCTTAATTATTATTATTATTATTATATATATATTTTAGAATTTTTGTAATAATGTGGAAATGTTAATAAGAAAAATAATATCAAGTAATGTTAATGAGAAAAATATTAATTAAAAGAAGACTTAGCAGCTAATTAATAAAATATTTACTGAAATTCGAATCTATTTTAAAATCTAGAAAACTTTTATTTAAAATGAAAATTTCATGTATTTTTAAACATTTGATAGGTGTGGTCAGGCATGCACGCATTCATGTCAGGTGAAAGTGGTGATGTTGATCCTTTAATACAGGTATTAAGAGATGAACTTCATGGAAATTGTCTTCAAATCGTAGAAGATTCAATATTATTTGCTGTAGAAGAAGGTAAAAAGAAATAAATTGAATCTTACATAGATTGATTTATTTTAAATTTTAAGCTTTTAATTAAATTATTATAAAAGTTTAGTATTTGAGTAAAATAATATTAAATATTTAAAATTGACTAAGATAAAATCAACCAGAATAAAATAAATTAAATTACATTTTTAAAAAATCAAGATGAGTAAGATTTTAAGATATTTTTGGGATATTTATTTCATAATTTCAAACATTCATGCATTAGAATAAAGAAATTGTTAAAGTATGAAATTCAAATTCAAACATTCTTATTTTGAAATATATTTTAATTAATTCTTCTGAAGAAAATATATTAATATGAGAATCAGTATCCTAATATTAAAAGTATTATGTATATATTAAGTATTTAATATTAAAAGTATTATGTAAAAGTTTATCTTATTTCAGATTGCAGAGAGAATTTGTTTAAATATAAATTTAAAGATTTTCAAAATAATGTTGAATTTTTTATTAAAATATTTTCTCTATTAGTTACTTTATATCAAAATCAATTTTAAATAAAATATTAAATAAATTACTTAAAGGATGTCTTGATCATTATTTATTCTTACAGCAAATATATTTCATAGTAAGACAAATGTTTTCAGACAGATTCACAGCCTAACTTCAGGGTCATCACTACATACATTTGTGTCTTATTTTTGAATATTAGTTTCATGACTCATGAACAATATTTTAAAATTTAGAATGTAATTCAAATTTACAAAATTGATTAAACTTAAGTTTAAGTTAAATGTGAGTTAAATGTTTTGATCATTTAAAAACTTTAAAATGCAATAGATGCAATTTTAGAATTTACTGTTTATCTTAATAACTTATTTTGAGTTTTATATGAACGTACATAACCTAAACACTTTTACAATAAATAAAATATGAATATAAGCATTGACTGTACATAAAATTATGAATATGAATTTGAAACAACTAATATCAGTTATTAATCTGTAATTTTCATGTATAATAGTTATTATTATTTTCATTCCTTTTACCCTGCAGGCAATAAGAGGACTTATTAATAAGCCTGTTATAAATTCATCTAGGTACACTTTGCCCAACCATCCATGGAAAATTTATAAGAATCTGTATTTGAACTGAGAGTCCTGTAAAGAGTAGATATTCACTTTAACCGCTTCAACCATCTTGCCAATGTCAGTAATTCTTCAGAACTATTAAACAAGGTTGATAACAATTTAAAGTACCAAGTAATTGTAATTAAAGTACCCCTATTCAACAGTATTTAGCAGTCCAAATGCAACTAAATTTAGTATGGTGACATTTTAGAACAAGCAGAAGACACTGTAAAAAAGTATCAAAATTGTCAGAAGAAGAATATTAAATTTTAAATTTAATGTTCTGTTCTTTTTCATTTCATTTGATCCTGATAAAGGTTAAATCAACTTAACCAAAAGTACTTGAGTGAAAGTTAGATTTAAAGTTATTGAAATCTTACAGTAGTAAAACACCTTGTACAATCAAAAAGAAAAAACTTCAGTAAACAATCACATAAAGAAGGACTAATGTTTTTGATCCTTTTCACGAATCTTCTTAGGTCAAAGGTTGTGAATGTTGCATTTTGAATGTCATTGCATTTTTGAATATGTTCCATTTTTTGAATGCATTTATAATTGGCTGCCTCAATTATAAATGCATTTGAACACCACATAGAAATGTCTTCTATGTGGCTTACAGAATTGTGTTTGTTCTCAAAATCTGTTTGATTGATTTTGATTAAACTTTGCCATTTTCTATTAATTGCAATGAGGAACCCAAAAATGTAATAAAAACTGGGGGTCCATGATTTCATTTTTCAGATATAAGGTCATAGCACGAGCATATGTGACAAAGTGATACTGCATGAATTGTGCAACATTGTTGTGCAATGTTCTATGGTAGCTAGAACTTCTATGAGCTTATAGCATTTACTTTTGTCATTTTCCATTAATTGCATTGAGGAATCTAAAATATAATAAGGGACCATTTAAATTTAAAAAATAGGAATCCATGACTTCATTTTTGATTAGAGGAGTTAAAGTGACAATGTCTGTGCTCTCTGATGCAACTGAGCATGCCTAACAGAATTTAAACTTTGGGGTGAAAAATAAAAACAGTATTGTGAGTGCCTAATGGAAAATGGGTGCAAAAATGAATAAAACCCAAGAACAAAGCAATTGATGGAAATTGCTTTGTTTTTGGATTGCCTTTCCATGTTGGCAAGTGCAAGGATCATGTCTTCCATGGCCAGCAAGTACAAGGATCAACTCTTCTATGTCTAATAAGTGCAAGGTTCACTTCTTTCTTTCTGGCTCTATTTCAATTCTATCATGATACAACAAAGTTGCACAATGTCCTAGTTTTAAATTTGATGTGAGACATTGATAGCATAAAAATAAAAACAATAATAATTGATAGCATGCACTAAATGTCTTAAATTATTTTCAAAAGTATTTTTTATGAAATATTCTCTGAATAATTATGCTTCAATGTTTGTCATAATTGCATTGGGTTGCAATTTTAAATTAATCTCTGCCATGCATAGGATATAAATACATTTGAAAAATGGAACAGATTCAAAAATTCAGTGATACTCGAAATGTATTGTTCACAACAATATTCAAATACCATTCCGATTCAAAAACCTTTGACCTGAAGAAGATTGATGGACAGGATCAAAAATATTAGTCCTTTTTTTCCATGATTGTTTACTGGAGTTTGTTTGTTCTACAAGGTGTTTTATTACTGTATACATACATTCCAGTCTGAAGAATTGTTGTAGGTAGAACATATTTAAATCATAAAAAATTACTTAATGACTCCTGTTTTATCACTCTGTCATCATTTTATTATCTGTGTGGTGTACATCTCTTTTGACTTTAGTTATGCAAACTCCTAGACAGCATCTTTTTTTCAAACTATTCCAAGTTTGTTCTTAGAGGGAAAGGAATCTCAAACAACTTATCTTTCTATGGAGGTGCAAATGATATAAACTTATCATGTGGTGAGTTTGATACAAATTGTATTTTAAGCAAATGTCTTCTGCATATCCTAAAATGTTACCATATCAAATTTGGTTACATGTAGACTACTGAATATTTCTCTAGATGGCATTGATTATAGGTACTTTAATTACAATCATCTGGTATTACAGATTTGATAATTGTACAAACCAGATAAGCAAATTAACCTTTGTAAACAGTTAAATTTAGAGATGCAGACAAAGATAAAAATTATGCAAATGTAGATACTATTCTGTTTTGTTGTTGCTGACATTTAGTTTCTTTCTGAGAGATTACTCTTATCATTATTATATATCTGCTGACAAAGAAACATATCTCAGTGAATAAAATCAAAACTTGCTTAGTGAATCATAATGAAATTTAAAAAGATAAAACAGTTTGCATTGTTTTCAATAAATTATTATGGTAATGAAAATTAATAATTTATTTACTTATATAAAAAAAAGAAAACAATACAAATAAAAATAAAAATGCTGATCATATAATTTAAGTTTAAAACTTCCTATAAAGTAACAAACTGATATAATAAAGTTACATAATAGACAGCCATTTTACACAAATCTCTCCTGATATTTTGCAACCCCTTCCTAACCAATGCAGCACAAACTTCTCCTGACTTTTCTTTGTAGACTATTAGAAGAAATTATTTCCTCACTGAATATGTACAGTACATAATAATAATTTGCAAAAAATTACAATTTTTAAAATCTGTAAAAATACTGGTCATATATTGTTCTTATGTAAATGTGCATGTTTCTGATATCCTATAAGAAAAGATCAGACTAGGTTTATACTTTGTATAAAATGGTCATTAACTGTGTAATTACTTTATATGAAGTTTTAAATGATATGGATATGTTTAAATATGTTTTTATGTAATATTTTCATATAAATCCAAACATTTTTTTTTTAAATGAAATTTATTTGAATAATCATTTAAAAGAAATTATAAGAATATATACCCAAACAAATATGTTTAAATAAAAATTTTTTAAAATAGATAATAAATCATTTGAATTTATTGGTCAGTCTTTAAGTAGTTCTTTAAATTTCATATGATTTAAAGAAAGAATATTATACAATATTTAGAGACTATGAAGGTTACTATTTTTTTGTTTTATACTTGGATCTGTCTTATGTTAACTGATTACAACTTTATCAAAGTTGTTGAAAGTCTCATAAATATTAGTATACAAAAAAATTTCTTGTGTTTTAAAATATATCAAATGTAACTAATATGGAAATGCCACTCCATAAATTAATAGTATTCCATATATAGTGTAAGTTTTTTCTTCACATAAACTCATTTATTTATTAAAAAATAAATTTTATTAAATTAATTTTAAAAATTATATTTTATATTGCTACCAAGGAATAAGAATAGGTATGTTAGAAAATTATTTTATAATTAAGAAAATATCATAGTGATGCTTCCAATTTTATTATTATCTCATATTTAAAATTTTTAATACTATTTTTAAATTTAAAATCTTTCTTTAATGTTTTATTGATACATTTTGTATTATTAAATTTAATTTTATATAGTGGAATCTTGCTTAACGTGCATAATTCGTTCCAGAATATTACTCATAATGCAAAACACTCAAGTGAAACAATTTTTTCCATATAAATTAATGTAAAATATGATAATGCATTCCATGCCGAAAAAAATACTCAAATATTTTATGTATAATGTTTATTCAAAGAAAATTATACAATATACATTGTTAAGAAGCATGAATCATCATCATCTTTTCTTCTAACACAGAATGAACCAACATGGAACCAATCTGTAATGCAAATTCGATTTGCAGAAAACAAAAATAATCACAGATAACATGTCTGATAAACATGCCAAATGATATGCCAAATTCTTGGGCTATGTAAAGACTATAATTAAATATTAGAAATTAATTAATTTGACTAGAGGTAGGCAGTTATGCTACCATCTTGTATTAAATTTAATAATTATAAATAATTAATTTTTAATTTAGACATTTCTAAAATTTAATTTGGAATTGGTCATTAAATTTAATACGAGATGGCATAATAACTGCCTACCTCTAGTCAAATTATTTAATTAATTATAGCCTTTACATAGCCCAAGAATTTGTCATATTGTTTGACATGTTTATTATATAACAGGCTATGCTTATTGATGTTTATACATAATATGTGTGATCACAAGAGACTCTAAGATGCTAGCGGAGCGAGTGCTAAACACAGACTGATGGTGCATGTGCACAATCTGGGAATTCCCCTCCTCTTGTCACTCGTTATGCAAAACATAAGTGAGTAAATTTTTTACAATTTGTTTTGCTCATTATGCAAATTATTCATTATGTGAGATGTTCATTAAGTGAGGTTCCACTGTATTTGTTATTTTTTGCTTTAGAAATTTTTGTACAATTTATACCAAGTACTGTTCTGAGTTAATAAATTGTATTAATTTTTAAACTAATTTTTGCTATTTAATATGCAAAATAATTTATAATTACTTTTAGCTTTTTACATGTCTAAATGCTGAACTTTTTAGACTTTTAAACTTAAACTTTAGTGAAACTTAGTAATTTTGTTTAAGGATAGAGAATTAGACTATAATTTATATTAATATTATAATTAAATTAATTTTAGAATGAAATTAAATAATTTAGAATATTATGGAAGAAAAGATCAAACTGTTATTATATATATTTTTAGTTATTTCTTTATTTTCCACATTATTGCAGTTATAATGTATACATTTTTTATTTTAGGAGAATATGATGCAAGAATGCGAGTCTTGATCCATCACATGGCTTGGTTGATGAGAGTGCAGCAGCCATTAGTTGAAATTTATGAAGAATCTGTTGTTGAAATGATATCTGATGATGTTCAAGGACAGACAGAGTAAAGATTTCTTATATAATTTTCAATGTATTTCCATGTATTTAAGTAATAACTAATATCATAAAAATTTAATTTTTTGGCTTTAATTTGCTTTTTTTTTATTTAAATAATATTAAACAGAATGAAGATGATTATTCATATATATATATTTCTTTTTTTGAAATATTGTTCTGATCTTGGAGTTTTGTCTGTCTTCAAGATTTATTTGTAATTTTCTTAAATTTGGTACAAATGAATATAAATTGCAATGGTATTTAAAATTACTAATATAAAAGCCATCATCTGTGTGTGTGTGCATGTGTGAATTTCTTATAACTTCTGCAATTTTTGTCCAATTCAGATGAAATTTTGGTTATTCATTTTATATTCTGATGGAAAGTATAGGCTACTTATTTTGCAGAAATATTAGCTGTAGAATAAACATTTTATCGATTTGGGATTGGTGATCATACATACATTGCAGTGATGTCAGTAACCACATGATGTTCATGTTCAACGAGGGAATTTCCTTTGAGTTTCATTTTTAAACATTTTGGCAAATGGCATATTTTAAACTTCATTAAATTTAAAATTTAAACTTTAAAAAAGATAGCCATATTGTATCTTCTATAACAAATGAAAAAAAAATCTTTTCTAGAGACCATGTGATGTTCTATCATCCAATTGGAAGTAACAATCTAGCAAGCCCATTATTTAGAAAGTATTATTGCTCATCTAATTAACATACTGTACAGTAGATATAATTCGTCTTTGTTTTATTAATGTGGAATTAAAAAGCTTGCTATTTTGTTGATAAAAAAATGCCTAGGGGAAAGTGTAAGAGTAAAATTGGTCAGGTAAATTCTAGATTTAAAAGAATAAGAACAATAGAGACTCTTGAAGGCCGTGAAGTTTGACTTGAGCAACATCAAATAAGAATGGCTTTTAAAGGGCTGCAGAAACAGCATCACAACATCAAGCTCAAGTATAAACTATTTAATTTGTAGAAATATTAGCAACTCTTCTTGAATTTCTCGAAATATTTACTTTTCTCAATTCTCCAATCTCTACTTTCTGATAAAAAGTATTCCATCATGCTTGATGGGAGAATTTCTAGTATTATATGTTTTCTATATGTACTAATTTTGTAATTTAATTTATTTAGAGAAGAACATCATGAAAGTAAAATACGAAATAGAAATAAGAAAATAAAGCGTTATTTGATGATTGGTGTGGCAACTCTTGGTGGTGGTGCATTAATGGGTAAGATATTTCATTATTAAAAAAAATTTCTCAATAAGATTTCTTTAAATGTTAAAAATAAAATATTTGGATTGATTTTACATATTTACAAAAAAAATTCATAAAAATTAAAGACATCCAAGAACACAGTAAATAACAATGACAGATTTACTTACAATTAAAAAACTTTTTTTTCTACTTTTGGGTCTTTTTGCTTGTAAGGCTCTAAGAGGGCTTTTTTCTGTAGCCATTATCTGTCCAGCTAAACATGTAATGAGGACAATTGTAGGTAGTAAGCACTGGTGCTTGATATCAGGAGTATTGAAAGAAGGGTAGGAATTTTTCTTTGGACCTGAAAAAAGTTCCTTGATTCTTACTCCTATAAAATTAATGTTATTTTTAATAACAGAAAATAAAATTTTTAAGATTTATGTTTATTAATAAAGAAACATTCTAAATATATCATTTATTAAAAAGAAAACATTGAAGGGGCTTGCTAAGATACAAAAGGGACTCACTCTACACTGGACCCCATACAAGCTCTGAGCAGTCCTGCTTGATATATCTGAGTATATTGCTCTTGAAAAATTCCTGAGGTTACTTATGGTCAAATTTAGTTATAGGTTTTTCAAAGCAATTTGCTGGTATCTTAACTGCCTCAGCCATTTGGTTATCCATAATAAAATATTGAAACTGGTTGTATTATTAAATTTCTCTAGCATGAAAGATAAAATAGAAGACACTTTTATTGGATTGTCTGCAGACTTGTTTAATATCAAGTTCAATTTACTTTTTCTCAAATCAGTTGTATTTAGAAGAAAATACAGTATTTAAGATCAGTAATTGTTTTTGGACATCTAGTTTTTATCTGTTGATTGTTTTTGTGTGTCCTTTTAATGTCAGAATCAATAAAATCAGAATTTTCACAAATTGTAATCTTACTTAATATTATCAATTAGTTTTTATCAATATAAGCAATTCTTAAGGTGATTATAATAAGCACACTCTATTTTTTTAATATTATTAAGTTTTGAATATGAAAATAATGGCTTCAAAAATCTGTTAAACTTATTTAAAAATATGTTTTTCTTCTTTATAAAGTCTATTGGAAACTTTTGTGATCCATAAATATTTCATTGTTAAATGTGCAATTCATAGTTATTCTTTATGTTTAGTAATATTTATCATTGGTCATCATATTTGTATACAGTGTTTCAAGTTACTTTGGCCAATTATTATATANATAAAATATTAAATAAATTACTTAAAGGATGTCTTGATCATTATTTATTCTTACAGCAAATATATTTCATAGTAAGACAAATGTTTTCAGACAGATTCACAGCCTAACTTCAGGGTCATCACTACATACATTTGTGTCTTATTTTTGAATATTAGTTTCATGACTCATGAACAATATTTTAAAATTTAGAATGTAATTCAAATTTACAAAATTGATTAAACTTAAGTTTAAGTTAAATGTGAGTTAAATGTTTTGATCATTTAAAAACTTTAAAATGCAATAGATGCAATTTTAGAATTTACTGTTTATCTTAATAACTTATTTTGAGTTTTATATGAACGTACATAACCTAAACACTTTTACAATAAATAAAATATGAATATAAGCATTGACTGTACATAAAATTATGAATATGAATTTGAAACAACTAATATCAGTTATTAATCTGTAATTTTCATGTATAATAGTTATTATTATTTTCATTCCTTTTACCCTGCAGGCAATAAGAGGACTTATTAATAAGCCTGTTATAAATTCATCTAGGTACACTTTGCCCAACCATCCATGGAAAATTTATAAGAATCTGTATTTGAACTGAGAGTCCTGTAAAGAGTAGATATTCACTTTAACCGCTTCAACCATCTTTTCAATGTCAGTAATTCTTCAGAACTATTAAACAAGGTTGATAACAATTTAAAGTACCAAGTAATTGTAATTAAAGTACCCCTATTCAACAGTATTTAGCAGTCCAAATGCAACTAAATTTAGTATGGTGACATTTTAGAACAAGCAGAAGACACTGTAAAAAAGTATCAAAATTGTCAGAAGAAGAATATTAAATTTTAAATTTAATGTTCTGTTCTTTTTCATTTCATTTGATCCTGATAAAGGTTAAATCAACTTAACCAAAAGTACTTGAGTGAAAGTTAGATTTAAAGTTATTGAAATCTTACAGTAGTAAAACACCTTGTACAATCAAAAAGAAAAAACTTCAGTAAACAATCACATAAAGAAGGACTAATGTTTTTGATCCTTTTCACGAATCTTAGGTCAAAGGTTGTGAATGTTGCATTTTGAATGTCATTGCATTTTTGAATATGTTCCATTTTTTGAATGCATTTATAATTGGCTGCCTCAATTATAAATGCATTTGAACACCACATAGAAATGTCTTCTATGTGGCTTACAGAATTGTGTTTGTTCTCAAAATCTGTTTGATTGATTTTGATTAAACTTTGCCATTTTCTATTAATTGCAATGAGGAACCCAAAAATGTAATAAAAACTGGGGGTCCATGATTTCATTTTTCAGATATAAGGTCATAGCACGAGCATATGTGACAAAGTGATACTGCATGAATTGTGCAACATTGTTGTGCAATGTTCTATGGTAGCTAGAACTTCTATGAGCTTATAGCATTTACTTTTGTCATTTTCCATTAATTGCATTGAGGAATCTAAAATATAATAAGGGACCATTTAAATTTAAAAAATAGGAATCCATGACTTCATTTTTGATTAGAGGAGTTAAAGTGACAATGTCTGTGCTCTCTGATGCAACTGAGCATGCCTAACAGAATTTAAACTTTGGGGTGAAAAATAAAAACAGCATTGTGAGTGCCTAATGGAAAATGGGTGCAAAAATGAATAAAACCCAAGAACAAAGCAATTGATGGAAATTGCTTTGTTTTTGGATTGCCTTTCCATGTTGGCAAGTGCAAGGATCATGTCTTCCATGGCCAGCAAGTACAAGGATCAACTCTTCTATGTCTAATAAGTGCAAGGTTCACTTCTTTCTTTCTGGCTCTATTTCAATTCTATCATGATACAACAAAGTTGCACAATGTCCTAGTTTTAAATTTGATGTGAGACATTGATAGCATAAAAATAAAAACAATAATAATTGATAGCATGCACTAAATGTCTTAAATTATTTTCAAAAGTATTTTTTATGAAATATTCTCTGAATAATTATGCTTCAATGTTTGTCATAATTGCATTGGGTTGCAATTTTAAATTAATCTCTGCCATGCATAGGATATAAATACATTTGAAAAATGGAACAGATTCAAAAATTCAGTGATACTCGAAATGTATTGTTCACAACAATATTCAAATACCATTCCGATTCAAAAACCTTTGACCTGAAGAAGATTGATGGACAGGATCAAAAATATTAGTCCTTTTTTTCCATGATTGTTTACTGGAGTTTGTTTGTTCTACAAGGTGTTTTATTACTGTATACATACATTCCAGTCTGAAGAATTGTTGTAGGTAGAACATATTTAAATCATAAAAAATTACTTAATGACTCCTGTTTTATCACTCTGTCATCATTTTATTATCTGTGTGGTGTACATCTCTTTTGACTTTAGTTATGCAAACTCCTAGACAGCATCTTTTTTTCAAACTATTCCAAGTTTGTTCTTAGAGGGAAAGGAATCTCGAACAACTTATCTTTCTATGGAGGTGCAAATGATATAAACTTATCATGTGGTGAGTTTGATACAAATTGTATTTTAAGCAAATGTCTTCTGCATATCCTAAAATGTTACCATATCAAATTTGGTTACATGTAGACTACTGAATATTTCTCTAGATGGCATTGATTATAGGTACTTTAATTACAATCATCTGGTATTACAGATTTGATAATTGTACAAACCAGATAAGCAAATTAACCTTTGTAAACAGTTAAATTTAGAGATGCAGACAAAGATAAAAATTATGCAAATGTAGATACTATTCTGTTTTGTTGTTGCTGACATTTAGTTTCTTTCTGAGAGATTACTCTTATCATTATTATATATCTGCTGACAAAGAAACATATCTCAGTGAATAAAATCAAAACTTGCTTAGTGAATCATAATGAAATTTAAAAAGATAAAACAGTTTGCATTGTTTTCAATAAATTATTATGGTAATGAAAATTAATAATTTATTTACTTATATAAAAAAAAGAAAACAATACAAATAAAAATAAAAATGCTGATCATATAATTTAAGTTTAAAACTTCCTATAAAGTAACAAACTGATATAATAAAGTTACATAATAGACAGCCATTTTACACAAATCTCTCCTGATATTTTGCAACCCCTTCCTAACCAATGCAGCACAAACTTCTCCTGACTTTTCTTTGTAGACTATTAGAAGAAATTATTTCCTCACTGAATATGTACAGTACATAATAATAATTTGCAAAAAATTACAATTTTTAAAATCTGTAAAAATACTGGTCATATATTGTTCTTATGTAAATGTGCATGTTTCTGATATCCTATAAGAAAAGATCAGACTAGGTTTATACTTTGTATAAAATGGTCATTAACTGTGTAATTACTTTATATGAAGTTTTAAATGATATGGATATGTTTAAATATGTTTTTATGTAATATTTTCATATAAATCCAAACATTTTTTTTTTAAATGAAATTTATTTGAATAATCATTTAAAAGAAATTATAAGAATATATACCCAAACAAATATGTTTAAATAAAAATTTTTTAAAATAGATAATAAATCATTTGAATTTATTGGTCAGTCTTTAAGTAGTTCTTTAAATTTCATATGATTTAAAGAAAGAATATTATACAATATTTAGAGACTATGAAGGTTACTATTTTTTTGTTTTATACTTGGATCTGTCTTATGTTAACTGATTACAACTTTATCAAAGTTGTTGAAAGTCTCATAAATATTAGTATACAAAAAAATTTCTTGTGTTTTAAAATATATCAAATGTAACTAATATGGAAATGCCACTCCATAAATTAATA